CAGTGCAGTGCATCATTTGATTTCTTGACTGCTGCTTCCATGGGCATTGATTGTGGATCCAAGTAAAATGAAATCCTTGACAACTTCAGTCTTTTCTCCATTTTCCGTGATGTTGCTTATTGGTCCAGTTGTGAGGATTTTAGTTTTCTTTATGTTGAAGTGTAATCCATACTGAAGGCTGTAGTCTTTGATCTTCATCAGTAAGTACTTCAGATTCACTTTTAGCAGCCAAGGTTGTGTCATCTGTATAACACGAGTTGTTAATGAGTCTTCCTCCAGTCCTCCTGATGCCGCATTCTTCTTCATGTAGTCCGGCTTCTTGGATAATTTGCTCAGCATACAGATTGAACAAGTATGGTGAAAGGATATGACCCTGAGGCACACCTTTCCTGACTTTAAACCATGCAGTACCCGCTTGTTCTGTTCCAGTGACTACCTCTTGGTCTATGTACAGGTTCCGCATGAGCGCAATTAAGTGTTCTGAAATTCCATTCTTCACGATTTTATCCATAATTTGTTATGATCCACACAGCTGAATGCCTTTGCACAGTCAATAAAACACAGGTAAAAACATCTTTCTGGTATTTTCTGCTTTCAGCCAAGATCCATCTGACATCAGCATTGATATCCCTTGTTCTATGGCCTCTTCTGAATCCAGCTTGAATTTCTGGCAGTTCCCTGTAGATAAATTGCTGCAACCGCTTTTGAATGATTTTCAGCAAAATTCTACTTTTGTGTGATAATAATGATATTTTTTGATAGTTTCCACGTTCCTTTGGATCATGCTTCTTTGGAGTAGGCATAAATATGGACCTCTTCCAGTCGGTTGGCCAGGTGGCTGTCTTCCAGATTTCTTGGCATAGACAAGTGAGCACTTCCAGTGCTGCATCTGTTTGTTGAAACATCTCGGTATTCTGTCAATTCCTGGAGACTTGTTTTTCGCCAGTGCCTTCAGTGCAGCTTGGACCTCTTCCTTCAGTACCGTTGGTTTCTGATCATATGCTGCCTCCTGAAATGGTTGAACGTCGACCAGTTCTTTTTGGTACAGTGACAGTGTGTATTCCTTCCATCTTCTTTTGATGCTTCCTGTGTCATTCAATATTTTGCCCATAGAATCCTTCAGTATTGCAACTTGAGGTTTGAATTTTTCCTTCAGCTCTTTCAGCTTGAGAAATGCCAAGTGTGTTCTTCCTTTTTGGTTTTCTATCTCCAGGTCTTTGTACATGTCATTATAATTAATACTTTACTTTGTCTTCCTGAGCTGCACTTTGAAATCTTCTGTTTAGCTCTTTTACTTTACCATTTCTTCCATTTGCTTTAGCCACTTTACATTCAAGAGCAAGTTTCAGTCTCTTTTGACATCCATTTTGGCTTTTTCTTTCTTTCCTGTCTTTTTACTGACTTCTTGTTTTCTTCATATATGATCTCCTTGATGCCATTCCAGAATTTGTCTGGTCTTGGTCATTAGTGTTCAGTGCTTCAAGTCTGTTCTTGAGGTGGTCTCTAAATTCAGCTGGGGTATACTCAAGGTTGTACTTTGACTGTCATGGACTTGTTCTAATTTTCTTCAGCTTCAACTTGAACCTGCATATGAGCAGTTGATGGTCTGTTCTTCAGTTGGCCCCTGGCCTTGTTCTGACTGATGATACTGAGCTTTTCCATTGTCTCTTTCCACAGACGTAGTTGATTTGATTCCTGTTTATTCCATCCCGCGAGGTCCACATGTACAGTGGCCTGTTTATGTTGCTGAAAAAGGTATTTGCAATGAAGAGATCGGAACTCTTAGGCACTGCTGGTGGAATGCAAAATGATACAACCATTTTGGAAAATGGTATGGCGCTTCCTTAGAAAACTAGAAGTAGACATACCATACGATCCAGCAATCCCACTCCTAGAAATATATCCTAGAGAAATGAGAGTCGTCACTTGAATAGACATATGCACATTTACGTTCATGGCAGCATTGTTCACAATAGCAAAATTATGGAAACAACCTAGATGCCCATCAACAGATGAATGGATAAACAAACTATGGTACACACGCACAATGTGGAGTACTATCCAACGAGAAACAACAATGATGAATCTGTGAAGCATCTAATCTCATGGATGAAACTGGAGGACATTATGCTGAGTGAAATAAGTCAATCACAAAAGGACAAATATTGTATGAGACCTCTATTGTAAAAACCCATGAAAAAGTT